ATCTATTTTTAGTTTAATTATATTTTAGATCACAATTAATCTTAAATTCTTATTTATTTATTGTTATTCCTAACATGTTAATTTAATTTTAATTTCATTATGTTTTAGATCTATTCTTAATTATTATTAATTTTATATTTTTATTTAATTACGTTTTAAATCAATCTTTAATTATGTTTTAACTTATTTTAGATTGGGAGAAAAAGGGAACAACATTATCTTTCTGTTGTATTAATTTCACTTCTTTTTTTCAAAAAATCAAACTTACTTTAAAAAATTATGTGTGTGATACACCTTCCGTTAGTTTAAATAGTAAAACCAACCGCGACACAATCTAAAATCACATGAAAATTTTCTTGCTATATTTAAACCATAAGGGGATAAAATCCTCCAATTTCAAACAATAAGGAGGTAAAATATTACCTTTACTTTTTGGATAAAGTACAACAGTAGCCTTTGTATTTTATTCTTGTGTCGTTTTAGTCACTGTACTTTAAATTGACTTGATTTTAATTCTAAATTTATGATTTTGTCTCAATTTTGTCCAATCGATTCAACTCTTAACATTTCTTTTTATACAAAATACGTGCATAAGTGTCACGTGTCATACTTGTAAAGGCAAAATTATAAACTACTCAACTCAATTAGTTAATCTCAACCAATTTAGTGACAATTTTTTTTTTTAAAAAAAACTAACAATATCATTAATTTGACCAACTTAAAAAAAAATCCAAAATTAAAAATCAAAATCCAACCAATTAAAAATATAAAAATTAAAATAATATAAAAATAAAATATAAAAACCACCGATATTATTTGTCCTATTTTTCTAAAGTTCTCTTCACACTACAGTCCCCAATAATCAATAACACTACAATAAAAACATACTTTAGTGGCACTACACTAGTGGCATATTTTTAGAAAATGTCACAAAAAATGATATTTAGTGGCACGTTTTTTAAAAATGTCACAAAACGACAAACATAAAAGGCTCTAGTGACATTTCAATGAACAAGTGTCACAACACTACAACAAAAACATATTTTAGTGACACCATACTAGTGGCATGTTCTTAAAAAACGTCACAAAAAGAATATTTTGTGGCATTTTTTAGAAAAATGTCATAGAGCCACAAACATACAAGACTCTAGTGGCATTTCAATTAAAAAAGTGCCACTTCACTACAACAAAAATGTCACTACAACAAATTTACACTTTAGTGACACTACACTAGTAGTATGTTTTTAGAAAATGCCACAAAAATAAAAATTGACATTAAATGTTTTAGAAAAATGCCACAGAACCACAAAACATATAAGGCTCTAGTGGCATTTTAATAAAGAAATGTCACATCAATTTTATGACATTTTATAAAATAATGACACAAAAAATTATGTTCGTGACATTTACCAACGGATGCCACTAAACTTTAGTTGCAATGGCATTTTTTAAAAAATGTCAGGACACTAGATAGGTATAAATTACTTTTTATAGCACTTAGGTGAAAAGTGTCATAAACAAATATTTTATAGCATTTTGAGAAATGCCACTACGCCAAAAACTTTCCAAGCTTATAATGACATTTTTGAAAAAACAAAAAATGCCAATATTTTTTCTAAATTTTTAAAATGCAGTAAATTATTAAAAATAAATGAATTAAACTCAATATACACTACAGGAAAAAGCATATTCGGCGACTAAATTTCCTGACCAAAAAAATTTGGTCGCTGAAAGTATAGCTTTCAGCGACCAAAACAGCATTAGTTGCCAAAAGTAAAGCTTTTTGGCGACTAAACAATTTTAGTAGCCAAAAGTCTACAATTGGCGACTAAAACTAAGTTTGGTCGCTGATTATATGGGTTTTAGTGACTAAAAAATTTTTAGTAGCCTAAAGTAAAGATTTTTGGTGACTAAAAAAATTTAGTAGCCAAAAGTCTACAATTGACGACTAAAAATAAGTTTGGTCGCTGATTATATGGGTTTTACCGACTAAAAAAATTTTAGTAGCCAAAAGTAAAGCTTTTTGGTGCCAAAAAATTTTTTGTAGCCAAAAGTCTACAATTGGCGACTAAAAAATAAGTTTAGTCGCCAAAAGTTGTCATTTTTAGCGCGAGAGAACTAAAATCCTAAGGCGGGAATAAAATTTTTTGGTGACCAAAATTTTGGTAGCTGAAAGTGCATCTTCGGCGACCAAATCCGATTTTGGTCGACAAAAGTTAAGTTTTTTAGCAACTAAAAAATAATTAGTAGCCAAAAGTATAGAATTGGCGAATAAAAAATATTTTTAGTCGCCAAAAGTGGTCTTTTTTTATTTGGGTAGTAAATAGTTTATTTTACATAAATTATGTTCAATAAAATAATTATGTTTATACATATACTTTTATATTAATATGGAAGTATGTACTATATAAATAATATATGTTGCGTATATAATCATGTGGTGCTATAGCGGTGTAGTGGGAAGAGTGTGGTGTATATGGTTTATGGTGCGGAAGGTTGGCGGTTCGAGTCTCCGCAAGAGCGGATCAAATTGTTCTACAACGAATTATCGTCATGAATGACACTTAATAGCGTCACGAATAGTGCCTACCATGACATTAAAGTGTCACTGAAAGATTTTAGTCTTGATGGTGTAATTTGTTCAAAATGCCACAAGACCAAAAAATGTCATTAGAAGAATAGTTTTGTGGCACTTTCAAATGTCACTAAACTAAGAAAATGTTGTAGTGTAAGGGCACTGGCACATAGACTATTTTGAAGCTGGGTGATCTTAATGCACCGTCAAATTTTTTTTCTCTACACCCATTTTATCTTTTAAGGCACAACAATTTATTCCCAAAGTGAAAAATTAATTATGCATATGGTGTATGCAAAAAAAATAAATAAATAAATAAAAATTATTAAAAAAAATTAAAAGATGTACTAAGAAGGTTCCTTAAACCTGTTTTGATCTTTGAAGAGAGGAGAAGATCATGCGTTTATTTTTTATTGAGAAAATTATAAATAAAAAAAAAATTAGAGAGTTTGACCTTTATAACAAAATAATTTTAATTTTTATAATTTTATCAATTTAAAACTTAATCTTTTGATTTATTTTCAATTTAGACCATCAACATATTTTCGTTAAGTAAAACCCACTACAAAAAAATTAAAGTTTTAGAGACCGAAATTTAAGGACAAAATTATTTTTTGGGCAACAAATATTTTTGTTGCGAAAAGTGTCATTATATTTTTAGCAACTAAAATTTGACATTAGTGATGAATTATTATCCTTTTGAAACCAAATTTTCTGTCTCAAAAAATAAACCATTTTGAGATCAAAATATTTTGTCACTAAAAGTCTATTTATTAGAGACATGTTCAAAATTTTGTCGCTAAAAGCCTTGTTTTTTTACTTTTAGGGACGACCTTTTAGCGACTCTCCTCGTGACGATGGAAATTAGTCCCTAAATATCTTTTACAACAAAATTTTTACTTTTAGAGACCAAAACATTTGGTCTCTAAAACTCTGATATCTTGTAGTGACCGAGGAAAAAAAGATTATTTTAATCACTAAACTCAATGTAAGTATTTATAAAATGTCTAAATATTATTTCTCATTGAGTTTAATGATTAAACTACTCTCTTTGTTTTTGTCAATTTTATTTAACGAAAATAAGTAGATGATTTAAATGGAAAACAAATAAAAAAATTTGGGTTAAATTGATAAAATTAAAAATGGCAAATTCATAATTTATTTTGTTTCAATGATCAAACTGAGAGAATTTTATCATTATTATTGTTATAATTTCTTCTCTTTGTTTTCTGTATGGTACAATATTTAAAAGGAATACTGCTTCTCTCCGATTATGAGTTGAGATTCTCTCCAATATTTAACATAGGATTTTTGCTCGCTTAATTTTAAAATCTTCATGTATAGATTATAAATGAAAAAATAAGACTATTATAATACCAAGTTCCATTTTCAAAATACATAATCAATTTATTTGAAATGAATATAATAAAGTCATATGTAATTATTTGAGCAATTTAAACTATACACATATCTATTTGTTTTATAGATAGTCTACCCACATGAACGATGAAATATACAAAGTCCTGTGAGACCCAAACGAACATTTTGTGGCACCTCAAAAAAAAAAAAAACAAAAACAAAAACAAAAACAAAAACAAAAAAAAAAAATCTGAAATTAATTATTGGCTTCTTTAAAACAGTTTTAGAACCCCCAAATAATTAAATTGCAATTTAAAACAATTTTAGAAAGAGCAATTTAAAACAATAATTTGTTGGGAGATTTTATTGTTATCTAGTAAGGTAAAAGGGAATGATTGGAACAGCATGCATGTAAATTGTGTCTGTATGTACCGACCAAGATTATAATAAAATTTGAACTAATTGATTATTTGAGTTCTAATGATAGATGAAATAAAATCTGGGGCAAGGTTCAATGTTGGAAAGACAGTCCTGTTACATGGTTTCCTCCATAGCATGCCAAAGTTCACTTTGAAGAATAAGTTTTGGGTATAGCCAATCAAAATATTCATATTGAGGTAGCATCACTACAAGAATTTACACATTTGCCGGCCAAAAAAATTTTGGTCCAAAAAAAATGACATTTGGCGACCAAATATTAATTAGTCGTGAATGATCATTATTTTTGGTGACCAAATATTATTGGTCGCAGAATGTTATATTTTGGCGAGTTGGTCGCAGAAAGTGGTATACTTTTGCCGACCAACTACGAATTTAGTCGCGGAAGGTCACATATTTTTTGGCGACCAAAAATTTGGTCGCCAAAAACTTTTTTTCAGCAACTAAAAAAAATTAGTCACCAAATTAGTACTTTTAGCGACTAATATTTTAGTCGCCGTTGATTGAGATTTGGCGACTAAAAAAATTTGTCGGCGAAGGTACCCTTTCTGCGACTAATATGGTCTTTTGGTCGCCAAAAATTTGGGAGGGAAATTTGAAACGTAGAAGACATAAACAAATAAAAATATTCGCTTGCTTTCCCTCTCCCTCTCTCTCACCGTTGCCGTTCTCTGTTTCTCTCTTTGCTCTATGTCTATTTCTCTTTCTCTTTAACATTCACATAAACACAAACCCTAGGCCACCATTCAAAATCACTATAGTACAAGAATTCAACAATACTCAACCTTTGCCCTCGGTCTCTCTCCCTTTCTCTCTCTCTCTCTATATATATATATAATGCGGCGAATTTTAGTACGGAGAGAGGGATTTGAGCTCTGATGAATTGATTCCTTTTCTGCTTTGATTCTTCTTCTTCTTCTTCAACATAGCTTCGACTTGCAGCTCTAACAGGTTAGTTCCGACTTTTCTTCTTCTTCTTCTTCACTATTTTTCGATCCTTCTATCTGTGTAACAGAGGAGACCAAACAAAGAGGAAGATGTCAGACCTAGACAGTCAAATTGAGCAGCTGAAGAAGTGCGAGCCTTTGAAAGAGTCCGAAGTCAAGTCCCTTTGCCTGAAAGCCATGGAAATCCTCATCGAAGAGAGCAATGTTCAAAGGGTCGACACACCTGTCACTGTAAGTGATCAACAACATGCTCTTTTTTATACTCTGCTCGTGTATATATGTTAATTGCCCTTAAATCTTAATTGGGTTTTGTTCTGTTTGGCTTATTGTAGTTGAGCTATTAGTGATTTAGTATTTAACCGTTTGATTTGTGTTGATTATGTTTTCAGAATCGATCAAGATTTATGTATTAATTTTGGAGATTTTTGTTAAGAACTTAATAAAAAGAAAAGAAAAGAAAGAATTTGAGGTTTTATGGGATTGGGAATTGGGTTTCTATAAAATATCATTTTCTTGAAAATGTGGTAGTTGAAACCCTCCTCCCCCAATCCTCCGGAGCAACTTGTTTAGCGGGGAATGGGTGTTTGAAAATGCAGAATATCTTTTTGATGGGGCTGACATTTATTTAGACTTAAACGAACTGCAAGAATACAGTGGCTATTTCGTTATAACTTATAATTGTTTCAAATCAAGTGCAATTTATATACTTGTAATTTGATAATATTGCTACAAAGTTTGGTTTTCATTATTTATTTATATATTTATTATTTTCATTATTGAGCTCAAGTATGTGTTGTTGATGAATTTCACTTATCTTTCTTCATTTTTTTAGTTTTATTTATTAATCTAACATTGTGGTTTGAATTACTTTTGACAAATTTGGTCCGATTTGTTAAGTTGACCCAAGTCCTACTGGACGAATCAGTATTGAAACTGAAGCTGGTGATCTATTCTACCAGTTTTTTTTTTTCCTTGCAGGTTACGTACACCAGTATAATTCATTGGATTCGCGAGTCCTTACATTTGATACCTCATTTGGCCTTATAAAATGGGTTTTATGATAGTGTTTTACATAACTGAACAGATTTTGTTGATTTTACAAATAGGTTTGGAAAATGAGATTTACAAAACCAAATCAAGCAAGACCAGTGGGATTAGAAACTAGACTCAATAGTAGGTTAAACCTGTTGAGTTACATAATTTTTTGGGTTTGTGGTTTAAGAGATAATGATTTTTGCAGTTCACCCATTTGTTCTGTCTTTTGTCAAAAATGAGTTCCATGCATTGTTTAGATCATAACTCCACTTACACACAATCTGACTTGTTGCGACTAGCGGCATTTGAAAATAGACTTAATAAGGAACACTTCGACCAAATTTCATGATCTTTGAGTAAGTAGATTAAGAGATGTGCATTCTCAAAGTTGATGGTTCTGGAGGAGGTGTTGTCAACACAGCACTCCAATAATAAATTAAAGCTAATTTTGACCCTCATGCCTTAATCCTTAACCTGGCATGGTGCTACACAGATTACTCAGTGTGTGTGAAACACTTGACTTTTCGTTTTAAATTTTAAATGTAAATTATAATAGGCATGTCTGATCAACATGTAATTGTTAATTAAAGGTGTCTGTTAACGCCAAGGGTTTGGCCTGATGGATGAGGCCTGGACTTGGTAAACTCTGATAGAAAGTGAACCTATTAGTAAACTCTGATTGAGTGGGAGCAAATATTGTTTTAAAGAAAGTGATTTATTGCGCTTCAAAGCCTTCTGTTAACAGATTTTCTTTTAAACGTTTGGTTTAACTGATGCTATCACTTTCCAGCCAACCCCCGTATTGTTGGGATCAAACCCAAGTACATTTTGTTTTTGGATCCTGCAACATATTTCTGCCTTGTTTAACAGATCATTTTACTATGGCTGACTATTGTACATTGCAAGGTTACATCTCCCATGATTAATTCTCTCCGAAATTATATATTGGTGTAGTGAGCTAATTTTGAATCTTATTTTAATGTGAATTGCAGAAGCAACACCTAAGACAATGGGGGTAAAAGGTCTTGCCCTTTATCACTTGAAATCGCATCTTCAGGTTTGTTGTTTCCAATTTTTTTGTATGCATATAATTTGATATTGTTCTCTAGTTTTGTTTGTTTGACATGCTCAAATGTCAAACCTCTTTCCCATGACCCTACCTATTCACAAGCACAAAGGAAAATATGAGAAAAAGAAAAGACTCCTTGAGCTTTCCTGCTGGAAGGGGTTGAACATTTGAATACCAATTTGAACCATTCTTTTTCAGTTTCATTCTGTTGATTTGTTACTAGCTTTGCTCATTTGCTGACTCTATAGATAACAATCTTTAATGTATTCACAGGCATAGTATTTGGTGTCTCATTTTTGCAGAAATGTCGTTTGGGAAAGCAATCTTGCAAGGAGTTACCTGACAGCTCTAAAGATGGTATCAACCTTGTTCTCACTATAATGCTTAGTAGTTTATACATTGCGTTATTGATAAACCATATGAAATTTAGCCCATCTACTACATTTGTATGTTGAATTTAAGGTGATCTTCAAATCAAACTAATAAAAATAAGTAAGAACTACTTGAAAATTTAAATGCACACAAATGTGAGAACTTTTTGTCCTTTGGTATTAGGCATCCTTATTTCCATTAAGTTCATATATTGAAGGTCTGGTTTTGGGGTGTGTGTGTTTTATGTGGGATATGAGGGAGCATATCGTTGAAGAGAGGGAGTAGATGAATATCTGATGCATCAGGGAGTGAAAACGATGGATGTTTCATGACACTAGTATTAGTAATTGAAATTCGTATTGATTCATTGGTATTGTGTAATTGGAATTACAGCGTCTTGCATTGCTAAGAGTCAAGACACTTGTTCATGTACAGCATCATCGTCAAAACTAGCTCAAGATTTAAATGAGTATGTTACACACTTTTTCCTTCTTTTTTACTTTTTATTTTTAGCAAGTCTGAGACACATAAGCATTGAAGCCGAGCAGTACAGATTTAAACTAGCTCACTGCAATACCTGTATATAAACCTAAATTGACCTTCTGGTAACTAGTTTTGAGCTAAACAAAGCAGCACAAATATGTTGTTGTCAATACGTGGTGATGACAAGTACTTGGAATGCTTCAATTTACAGTAGCTCTGTCCCCTGCCTTTGTAATTTTTATTTATTTATTTATTTTAATATGGGTAAGATGTGTTTGAATTTCATGGCACATTGTTTTTCACATAATTTGATTAATCCATGAAAGCCTTGCCCCCCAAATCCCTTATTAGATCATGATCATGAAGAAAGCTGAAGTATTTTTCTTTTCAAATTGGAGTATTGTGACATTGTTTGATTGAGCAAACCAAATAGGATGTGCTGTGAATTGAACATTTGGGTTCATGCCTTGTCTTTCAGGAGGTAATGATGCTTCTCACTCAGCTGAAGCTATAGCCCGTAGAGGATCAAGTAGTTTTGCTCGCCCTGACGTTGTATTGTGTTGTGTTGTTAATGAATGTTAATGAATGTTAATGCTTCAATTTAGAGTTGTATTGTGTCGAATGTTAATGAATTATGTATTGTGTCGAATGTTAATGATTCAGTTAATTTGAATGATGCTTTAAAATTATAGGTTTTGTTATGGATTGAATGAATTATTAGGAATTATAGGTGTATTGTTTTCCTGCTTTGGCGACCAATTTATTAGTCGTAACAAATAAATAATTTTTTTTCACAAAAAATGACAATTGCCGACCAAGAGTTTTGGTCGCAAAAAAAACATCTATTGCCAACCAAAACAGCTCTTGGTCGTGGAAACTCACTTTTGCCGACTTGGTCTTTTTGGTCGCGAAATGTGATAATTGGCGACCAAACTTTTTGGTCGCGAAATGTGACAATTGGCGACTAAGAAATTTGGTCGGGAAAATATCACTTTTTGCGACCAAAGTGTTTTAGCGACAAAATGAATTAGTCACGGTAATTAAATATTTAGCGACCAAAAATTTAGTAGGTGAATCCAACTTTTGCCGACCAACCAAAATATTGGTCGCAAATTACTTTTGCCAACCCTCAATTGGCGACCAAAGTAGCGACCAAAAAATTTAGTCGCGGATAACTTTTGCCAACCAAAAATAGACTTTTAGCGACCAATTTTTTTGTTGCTAAAAGTGTTAATTCTTGTAGTGCATGTATTATATGGTTGGATTAGTATGAGACACTAGATATCTATCTAATTTTGTCGGTAATATTTTATTAGTCAATGACACTATGTAAAACACAAATTCTTTGACAACCTAAAATTGAGATTTTAAACAGGATTTTTTGGACTCACTCCAAGAGTGCAAACTCAGAATATCTGCGACTATCTGCTAACCTCACATATCAGGTGAAATAAGATATCAGAGCTTGAACCTAAGTCTTTGTAAATAGAATTTAAGTGGCTTACATTCAAGTTGAACCTTATGAGTTTGTAAAACATGATATTACAGTTACACTCAATAATTATTCCACTTTGAGAGTGGGAAGAATCTTAGTTGTTGATCTGAATATTAACATTCATATAAGGTCGTGAATGTCCCATTTTTACAAATTGGTAGGATGATGAATATGGGAATAAAAAATTGAATACTTGAATTTAGCATCATGTTCAATAAGAAAATACCTTTTTTACTAAGTCAATTCTTGCTTCAAGGTTAGGGATCTCTCTTTGGTGACAGAAAAGAAGAAAATAACTAAATATGGATTTCTCACTAATTGATGTACTGTATTTGGATTAGTCTTTATGATATCTTTGAGTATTTTAACATTATTGTTCATTAATAATCCATAAAATATATATATATATATATATATGTTACTGAAATGCTTGACAATAATCCAGTGATTTTTATTAATTATTGTAAACCACCATGAATCTACTTGATAATATGTTGTAATTATACATCTGTCAAATAAAATTAAGCCAAATTAATTGAGAATGTGACTTCTAATCATTAAAAAAAAAAAAGCTTAAAAATAAAATTTTAGTATTCAATATAGTTACATTTTTATATTGATAATCTAATGTGTGGCTCACATAATAATCAACTCGATGAGTGCACAAAATATTTAAAAATAATATTCTTGCTTTCTATATAAAAGATGAGATACATCACATTACCTAATTAGTCATATATAAACTATCATACTACCCAATCACACCAGTATTACTCAATGTAATGGGCTAATATTAAATAAAAATCTGACTAGGGAGAGACAAGAATACCATCCGTAAATAATAATAATAATAATAATAATAATAATAATAAACAGAAATGTATACAAAAATATTAGTGTATGTTCAGGTTCATTTTGATGGGGATTCTCACCATTTTAACAATGAATTAATTCACACATTGATTTTTTTGTATATATTTTATTATATTTTTTTCTACAAGTAGCATTATTGTAGGATGGAAAGGAAATGAAAAATTATTAACCGTTCTTGGGGTCCTACTTCTATTCGACTTATTGGACCTGCTTGGTACAATTCCATATAAGTTGAAAGTTGATACAGTCAAAGAACAGAAATTAAAAACACATTTTTTACTATTTCTCAATAATCACATTTTTCTAATTTATCTATTTCTACTCCATATGCTATAAACAAAAATTACACCAAAAAATTCGAACATAAAATTTTAAAGTAAATTAATAAAAAAAATTAAAAAATGCCATAAAATACATTAAATTGGACCACAAGTTGACACTTGCTTGTGCTTCCCACTTGCTTCCTTTACTTCTTATAAAGATAAAGAAATGATAAAAAGGGTGAGAAGAGAAGGGCACAAAAGGAGTTGGAGATTTTTGGAAGGTTGCTCTCTCAAAACCCAAAGTGTTGCACATGGGACAAAGATGTCTATCTATCTATTCCATTTCCTCTTTTATGTTTTTGTGCTTTCTGAATTTTGAGGGCAGTGGATTTGCCTTGATTGTCCCAACAGTAGGCTCCCCACACTAGGGCACTTCCCCCTAATCTTGTCCTAATAGTCCCAAGACATGTTGGGGCCATTCGCTCCTCAATGGTCCTCTAATCTCTCACCTTGTGTCTAGTTAGGTTTTGTAGTGCATCACTTCCATTGAGATAAGTTAAAATGTTTCTTTTTATACTATAATAATTTGTGAAAGTATGTTAAAGAGACACCAAGATTATATGAAATCCCATTGATTGGATGAATATTCATTCCACTACCAAAAGGGAAGATGAGAGTTTGCTAAAGTACAATGAAGGCATGGCAAAGAAAGGAGATCAACTCATCCATAATGATCTTCGTGAAGCTATCACACCACTTTACAAAATTTTCAAAATTACCAGTCCATATACACAAATAGGAAAGGAAAACGGAAGACTTTACTCCATGCCACACCCTTCCCTTGTCTTACTTTATTCATATTTAGTAAATGCTATTTTGATATCAAATATATCTATGTTTAGTGAATGTTATTTTGATAAGCAATCTTATCTATTAGACCACTCTCCCACCCTTGACTGCCCTGCCTGTCTCATCCCATTGGATATAGGCTTTTACAGATTTTTGTAATAGTGTGATTGTAAGGGAATTTTGAAGAATTCAAATGTCTGTAATTCAGTTGGTCTGGTAGCATTTCCATCCAATCAGTAAGTTATTTGGATGACACTTTGCATATTAAAGAGAGTTGTTCATGATCCTTATTTTTCTATCATAGTACATATCAATGCTAAGTTTAATATTGAAAATGCAAGATTTTTTGGGCAGAGAAAAGAAAAAGAGGTGCATAATAGAATAGTAGAGTTTTTTTTTTTTTTTTTTTAAAAAAGATCATTTATATGATCCATCAATAATAAATATATATTTATCTCTGTATAATTGGGATGGGAAGGGATTACCATTCCCTAACATTGTCCAATTCCTTTCAAGTTTTTCATTTCATTTTCATCTAAATGCCAATCCTACTTTATTAAAAAAAACTCTCAAATCCTGGGAAGCACGGATACGGATACGGGATACGGGATACGGGTACGATACGATACGAATACAGCGATATGACAAAATTTGAAAAAGTAAGATACGGATACGACGGGGATACGTTCATAAAAAATTTGTAATAGGTTGTTGTACGGGAAAGAAATACGCCTTCTCGTATAATCCTGTTGACCAAGTCCACGCTCCTCCGTACGACGTCGCTTTGTCACCTGAAAACACAAACGTGAGCTAGCCGGCGGGTGTGTGCCGGAAACCTCTCCGATGCCTAAGTCAGTGGGCTTGACAAATAGACAAAGCTCTATGTTCTCAGAAAGCAAAATTGTGTTGTGTTCAATTACCTCCTCCAATGTGATGTTTGTGAGCTTTTATAAGTTTCCTGTGGCACAATCCTAGTAGGACTTTTATTCCGTCATGCAGAGTCCTCCTAGGATTCATACTCCTAAGGATAATGCTTATCCTTTTACACCCTCCCCCACTGCTTAAACCAAGTGGGATGGTTTTTACTTTGGCCGAATTACTATATGACCGAAATAAGCTTGGCTATGCAGAGCCACTGAGTAAACCGAACTATTCTTAGTTCGGTTCCACCTTTAACTCTATCCTTATCTCGGTTTTCTCATGTACAACCAATGGTACGGTCTTAGACCGAACTAATGACTTTCGGCCGGTATGACTCCAAGACCGGCATAACTCTAAGTCGTTCCTGGACCGAAGTATCTTTATAATTCCTGAGCCGAAGTAATTTTACCTCTCTGGCCGGAGTAACTTTGTTTCTCCTAGGCTGGAGTAACCTTGCCTCTCATGGGCCGGAGTAACCTTTTGCATTTTTATTGAGCCAGAGTAAGCATTACGGCCTTTTTACTTAGTCCTTCGCACTTTGGGCCACAAAGCCCAACTCGCAGCTCGGCCTAATTTTTCCCAAAAATTACCCTCTCAATTGCCCCTTAATTCCATCTGCGCAACATGATTGGGATTACCAGTCTACTGGCCGAGCTAGAATTTATTAAGCCTTTCCAGCCGAGCTAAAAACCCTTTAGCCTCTCCAGCCGAGCCAAAAACTCTTGGGCCCTTAAGCCGAGCTAATTTTACTTCGGGCTTTACTTTGTCCGGTTAAAACATCTCTTCAATCACGACTGTAACGCTTCCCTTTCCGTATACACATGGCACGCTCCCATTCGTAGAAGGCAGCTGTCAACGCCGTCTTCGTGTTTCGCAATTTTTGAACAGTTCCCGCCCTCTCTCTCTTTCCACAAAACAATCAACCTTCCTTTGAACCATTCACCTTTACTATTCTTCATCTTCTCTCTCTGTGCTCTTGCTGTTCTTCCGTTGCTTCCGAAGACTGATTTTGCTGCCACTTTCCCATCTTCAGCCTCCTCTTCTTCAATCTGGTAAGCCAGCCTATCCTTCTTGCTCTGTTTTGCTTTCGCATCTATATATCTTGTTTTGTATGTTTTTTGCAAAACACATTTGTATAGTTTTGTTTTGCAACTGTACTTTTATGGGAAAACCAGCAGTATCGTATGAGTATATGCTATATATCTCATAAAAAACTTGATTTTGATACAAAATCATGTTCTAACCGAACTAGGGAACTGTTTGCCCCATATAGGTAGATCACTTTAGA